CACTGAGGGTTGCAATCCGTTGCCGGACACGAAAAAAGACAAAAAAAGGAAAAAAAAAAAAAAAGAATAGTATTCTTTACACAGTACTGTATATACATGATACTTCGATCAAAATGTTTTTTTTAAAAGGTTCACTTTAAAACTCAAGGAGAAACAGAACTGGTTTAAAACATTGGAGCCATAGAAAAATAAAAGTAGAATGAAGGAAGATATGCTGATTGAACCGGAGGAACGGAAGGGTCAAAGGAAAGCTTTTGGGTGTCCTTGAAGTTTCCCAGGCTCCTCAAAACCTGATGAGCACAAAAGCCAATTGAGTCCGCACTGGAGGCACATGCGGCAGAGGGCACTCCTGGGACACAGGATCAGAAGCTTCTGAATGGTTCTCTACTGAGGCCAATGTGAGGGGGAAAAGAATTTGTACATCTCTGCACTCAGAAGTGAGAGGAAACATTTCGAAATGTGAAGTAGGTCATCTCATGCCCCTGCTTTAAGCCCTTCCTAGCTTCTTAGTGATCTCAGATTAAAATTAAACTGTTTTAGTCAGTTTTGTGTTGTGTAACAGAATTCCACAGACTGGGTAAATTATAAAGAACAGAAATTTATTTGTTACAGTTCTGGAGGTTGGGAAGTCCAAGGTCGAGGATCACATCTTGTGTGGGTGGACAGTTGTGCTGTGTCATCCCACAGTGGAAGGCAGAAGGGCCAGAGAGCCAGGGAGCCGGGGAGGGTCGAACTCGCTTTTACAACCTGCTCTGGCAATGACGATGTTAATCCATTCATGAGCCACCTTTTAATACTGTCACAGTGGCAATTAAATTTCAACATGAGTTGTGGGACATTCAAACCATAGCAAACTCTTACCCTGGCCCACCAGACACTGCAGGATGGAGCCCCCTTTGCCCACCTCGTCCCGCCCACAGAGCAGCCTCTCCCGCCTGCGGGCTGCTGTCCCATTCCTCAGGGGCACCAATCCTTTCCTTCCTCTGAGCCTTTGCACTCACCGTTCCTTCTGCCTGGAACACTCTTCCCACAGACTGTCACAAACGTCAGCTCCCCAGGGGCCATCTCTGGCCTCCCCATCTCCAGTGTCCTCCTCAGGCACCCTCTTCTGGCCCCCCCCAGCACTTGCCTCCATCTTGCTGATGTGTCTGCATGTCTGTGCCTGGCCTCCCACACTGCCACGAGCCTGGAAGCCCTGTGTGGGTAGAAACCTTGCAGGTCTCGTTTGTGGCTGCAGTGTTCACATCTTGCCCACTGTCTGGCTGAGAGGAGATGGTTAATGTTACTTGCTGAATTACAAAGGTCAGAGGATT